ACACACACACACACACACACACACACACACACACACACACACACACACTTAAAAATGGGATTTAAACTAAAAAAATTATTTAAAACTCAATAAAAATTAGAAGCCATGTCTTGCTCCCATTTGCAAACCATATTTGTTCATTTCTTTTACTGATTGTATTACCACCAAGCTCCAGTTGGACATCCTCCTGGTTTTCACACTCATGCATCATCTTCTCAATGCCTCTCCTGATTCCACCTCCATATACAGCCCTCCTTCCCATTTCTGCTGGCTTAGTTCAGGCACCTACCGGCTCTAGCCTAGAACAATGCCCTTAATGCCTGTCCCTGATCCCATCCACCCTACACCTAACTTCCATATGCACTTTCTCTGAGGAAAGTTCCAATCCTTTTCTTCCTGGGATAAAACACTCAGCAGTTCCTCCATTGTTTTCAATATAGCATTAGAATTTCTTAGCCCAAACTGCAAAGCCTGTCACCATGGGCTAGGTTTTTCATCTTTATATATCACATGCAAATTCAACTCAAGTTGTAATTTTTATGGCTGTTTTAAATGCAATGCCTGTTTCTCAGCCCGAAATGTTTCTCCCATGCATTCCACCTATAGAGATCCTTTCATTCTCCATGACTAGTTAGGAGTTATTTCCCATAGAACCCTCTTTCCTTGTAAACATCCCAAACATTTTATATGTACTGCTTTTATGGAACCTGCCACTGTTAGACTTCAAACTAGACTTCATTCAATTTATGTTTATACCTTTTAGTAGAATATGAATTGTTTAAAATTAGAGATTACTGTCTTATGCATTATGAGCATTGCATATCATCTAGCATCAGAGATCTCAACCCTGAGTCCATAGACCCCAAGAGATATGGGCTGACAGAACTCACATGGAAAGGCAACCTTTCCCCACCTAAGCTCAGATGGAAATTTTTGCATGTCCTTAAGTGATGGGTGAAAACAACAGTCTACTGTGGCTATAATGTCATCGCACCAACAACAGGCAACTCTCTAGCCCACTGTTCTCGTTAAAACTGTAGATGTCAGGTATAGCATTGCTAAACTAGAATGGCATTGATGGGTCCTACCTTAAAATTTATTTTACTGTATTAGTAAAGGATCGCATTCTGCCTTATCACCTTTTAAAAATTATTTGGTAGTTTAATATAACTCACTTCTCTGCAAGTCTAAGTATTTTATTTTCTGAGTTAACCATGCCTCTAAGGAAGGAAAAATATAGGCTTCAGTAGACTGTTGGAGGGAGTCAGAGAAGATAAAACTCTGAAAAAACAGAAGAATCAGCACAGAGTTCACACAGTAATGATCACGTGTTGCCCATAATTGTTCATTGGCCTCTCTAGAGCACACTTGTTCATGTTTTAAATATAGACCATTATGTACCAATTGTCTTATTTCACAATCTAAAGACCAATGGGATAAACATACTAGAAATTACTAACAATTTGGAAAGAAATAAACAGCTTGCCACCCAATGTTGAAGAGGCAATTAGTGCATATGAGCACACGTGCACACACACCCACAGGTGACAAAAAAGCCACAATCACACATGGATGTATAAAAAGAGACATATGGATGTATGCATCAAACAAACACAGAAACTCTAAAGGTCTGTAAATGAAGAGAAACAACTGTAAAGATGAACATACTAACTACCTCAGTGCTCTCCATTACATTAAAGTACAGGGGAATAGTTGACATTTATAATGTGAAATTATCAGAGATGTCTCAAATTCACATAGTTTGCAGCTTATAAGAGACTTTTATATTCATTGTCTGAGTTAATTCTCAAAATGTTTGAGTTACCATGTCAAACACAGGACCACAGCAACTTTTATTTCTGTGACTTAGAGAAACTAAAGAACTTGAAGCTAAGTAGGTGTTAGATGGGGCTGCAGTTCCTAAGCTACTGCAGAGCAACCGTGGGGCGTCAAAGCATCTATGGGCATGCCAATAATCTGATTGACACGACAAGGACATCAGCAAGACCTTTTAAAACGAGTTCCACAAAGATCAATTAAAGACAAACTTTAAATCTTTACAAGAATAAAATTAAGTTAGTTGGGCACTACCAGCTCACCAAATCCTAGTTCCCCTTCAGTGAACTAGGTCACGGTGCCTCGGAGGTCAAAATTTCACTTACAAGTAAAAACTCCAGGGCTATGTTAGGCCTGAAGTACACAGAAAAAGAACACATGCACATAGTCGTTGTAATAACCACTCAAACATGTTGTTGAATAGAGTCTACCAAAGATTCCTGTAGAGAAACTGAGTGCAGGACAGCTATGGCAGGTGCCACATCAAGGCCCCACCCTCAGAGGTCATTAGCACCTCTTCAGTCTATTCCAACATTCAAGGCAAACATAAAATTTAAAATGTGTAACCGTCATAAAATGGAAGAAAAAATACATTAGAAAAAAAGGCTCATCTGGTTTTTAAAATGGGACATAGGATTACAAAAAAACTATCTGCCAAAAGGAAATAGGAGAAAAAGCACCAAAATTATAGTTAGGAAAATTCCCTTGCTATCTTTTTTTCAGGGTGATGGTTAAGATAAGTTCGAATCCTTGGGGTGTTGTAAAAATCAAGCAAAATGCACAGGTTTTGAGAAACCCGGGGCTATCTGCTTAGCACTCCTAATGGACTTCGGTCAGCTGTCACCATAGTAACCTCTGAGTGACTGTTCCTAGCTTGTGGCACTTAGACACTTTGCGCCCTTGGGATTCTGGTCATTTTGCTATGGCCGGAAGAAACGCCCAGAGGGGAAGTCCACATACCCTCTTGTTCCGACCGAGTCATCTCCTCCAGCTTCTTCTGCTTCAGCGTATCCACCACGTCGGCAAGGCTCCCTTTGCGGCGTTCCGGGGTTCCAAAAGTAACACTGCTCATTATCTCGCGCTCCCGACTCCCTTCGTCAGGCTTATGTGGTGAGGTAGATGTATTTCGGAAGGAATATAGGGAACATAACTTATTATTCTCTGACTCCTAGAAAAAAATGAAACGAGAGTTTAAAAAAATAGTTATTAGTGAATAGGCTTCATTCAAAATCACTCCAAAATAAATAAATAAATAAAGTCACTAAAGGATAGCATGTGATGGTCATTGGATCAAATAAACTATATCAATAAAATAAAGTAACGCACTCAGTAAAACAAAAAAAACTACTCTTCTGCTAAGCAGTGCTGAACTCTAAAGTAGTTAAGTACCCAAGGGACTAAAGTCAAATCCCAGGTTCAAGCTGCTTCAGTTTTGAGATAATAAAACAACAAAATTGGACGTTTTGGCTTTTCATTCACTCATGCTTTGGGTTAATGAACGTTCAGGTTCAGTGAACCAGTATGAGAATTGATAAAGTTTTTCTCCCCAACTGGGTCTTTTTATCAGCAATACTCTCCCCACAGACCAAAATATGTACCTAACACCAAAAAAAATGTTTTTCTCTCATTTAGAAACAGTGGAAGTTGGTTTCCATGCCCAACATTCACTGCTCACTAGAAATTAAATAAAACATCTAAGCCTCTGAAAAAGTCAGCGATCTGAATATTTTTGCACACTGGGGTTTGTAGGAATTGCTTGCTTCAATTGCTTGTCCATAGTTACAGAAGCTCCCATCCACTCCTCAGCTTGCCCCTGATGTTCCAGCATGCTGTAGCATGTTTCTCACATGGCATTTTAAAACTGTGTTTAACAACAATAAAATGCTCATTGCAGAAATGTTTGCACAGAAATCACTTCCCAGTCTACAAAAGTTTGCTAACTGCTGTAGGCTCCATCTATCAGCTGCAGGGGAGGGAGCAAATCTTAGGTTAAAAAACAAACACCACGTGGGAGTTTTTTGAAAAGGAAATAGTTTTGTTATCTTTGACTCAGAACTGAGGATTCAGGGATAGAGAGATGGTTCAGCTGCTAATAGTGCATGCTGCCTTTGCAGAGGACCAGAGTCCAGGTCCTAACATTCCCATGGTTCATTTCACAATTCTATAATTCCAGTTCCAGGGTACTTGGTGTCTGGCTTCTATGTGCAATTGTATTTACACATTCACACTTACAAACTCACACACATGTATTTTAAAATAAAATAATAATAAAAAAACATTTAAGAACCAAGGATTAGAGGCAACTGTTACATGGCTAGAACCCTCAAGTAGTCCTCCATACACCTTATCTGAATAAAAATGTTCTTTTCCTGATTAAAAACAACAAAGTCTGTGAAGTGTCTAGTCTTTAGAAGCTTCAAAATCCCAATGGCTCCTAACCTCTTTCTTCCAAAGACAGCCCAGCCAGCTTGAGTGAAGGAGGGCTGGGACTGGGTCAGCAGCAGAACACCGGCCAGGCATGCACAAGGTGCCAGGTTTGGTCTCCAAGAACAAGTAATAGAACTAAATTAGCACTGAAAAAAATAGGAGGCTAAGGCAGCAGAGTTGGTGCACAGTGGTGGGGGGGGGACTGAAAGTGAAAGCAGCAGTCTCCGTGTGCATAAATGAGACAAAGCTATGCTAAAAAGGTGCTGGAATTTGGGAACTACTGTCACTGTTCATAAAGTGAAGGGGGCCCTATTTTCAAGGTGGCCAGGACCACAGAATGAAGTAGCACTTGAAAAGCCTCTGTGCATGGTGCTGAGCGTCAGTCGTTCCCCCACCACTAGCTGAGGTGATGTCCTAAAGGAAGGGGCAGATATAGAACGGGGAGTAGAGGGATTGTGAAGGAAAGGCACTGATATGACCCTGAGAATAACTTAAATACCATGAATACTGAAACTCTACTAACCTGTCTGCGTTAAATGGATAAACTGCATGGTGTGTATTTCAATATAGTTATTTAATAATGTAAGATAAGTTTCCAGCTCCCTGCCTTCGTATTGTTACTAGTACAATGCTGGGAGTGGGGGTGGATGCATACAATGGCTTCAATCCAAAAAAACTTGAAAAGGACAAAGTAAATGAGTGAGACAGAATTCTTTATCTAGTACCTAAGATCACCTCAGTCACCCATGAAAGACTCACCATCTCTGTTAACATGTACAAACATTCTACGGAGAGAGGCAGAGAAGCCCTTCTTTGAGATGCCTACTATGCTTAGGTCTTGACTCCTTAGGATGGTCAGTTCATTCTCCATATTGTGCAAACAAAACCCCAGGAAGCATAGCTGCCACTGTGACTGTGGTATTGATGAATCAACAATCATCATTAAATCATTTATTCTTTACTTTTCTTCTGGTGCTCATATAGCCTAAAAATCAAAACTAAAACCCTGGTATAAGCTAAGAAGAGCTGAGTGACAAAAAAAAAAAAAAACAAAACAGTTGCCAGAAACCTGCTCACCTTCAGGTGGCTCCACTGGCCAGAATGATGGCCTTCCCTTCCCATTGGTGTCAGGTGGAGACTACAAGGCTCTAGAGAGGCCCTTCAGACTAGACCTCCATACATGCAGTGTCATTTGTCCCTCGGGCTCAAGTTCAAGCAGTCCTATGAACTGGCTCTCACTTCCCTGTTAGACTGTGTTTTTTCTTTTATGGTCATGGAATGTGGTTACAGACAACTTATACCAAAGACAAAAACTATGGGCTCTTTTGCTTCAGTGATGACCCATGCTGTCCTCTATCCCACTGTCTGTGCAAAGTTCCTCTATACTACCAAGTACAGAACATGAGGCTGTAAAGTCATGATTTATCTTGTAAAAGCATGATTCCTCTTGTGTATTGCAAAGAACTTTTTGTAATACATTGCCAAGGCACCAACATGAGGGATAAGTAAAGTCATGAGAGGCTAAAGATGTATACATTTTGGAAACATGGGGGGTGCCTATCACTTTTAAACTTTATAAAACAATAAACATAAGGTTTTTCATGACCAGAGATTTAGCCCTAATTCATTTGAGTAAAGCTAACAAGGAAGTCAATTTAGGTTTAAAAAATGTGTCTCATGAGACAGCAACAACTCCAAATGAGAGGGAGAAAGAGAATGAAGTGTCCTTTTCCACAAAGACCAGAAAACATCATCGAAGAGAGGATGGAAAGATCCTAAGAATCAGAGGCTGGGGAGGACTGCTTCAAAATAGTGTTCTCTGGATATGGCAGGGACACTGCACACATGTCACAGAAGCTGTGGCACCTGCACGGGACCTGAACAAGATCAAGCTGTCACACACACTCCAACATGGCTAGAGGAGGGGCCATGCAGCTCCACCCCTACTTGAGAGCTCTTGGCAATTGATATTGCTGAAAGAAGGAGGGTCAGCTTTCTACAGCAGTACGGCCTGACAAGTAAAATAAATATTTTTTAAAAAATGTAAAGTACCAGATAAGAATTTGGGAGGAAGATGGGCAAGACAGCAGTTGGGGGAGTAGGAAGTTACACTCTAAAAACATTGAATCTTTGTGTGAACTTAGCAAAGAAGTATCATTAAAATAGAGAGGAATATATAGGAAGAGCAGCAAACGAACTTTGACAAAACGTTTCTAACCACCCCAGAGAGTTACATCATTTTGTGGAAATTTTCTTAAGTAATAGAAACCTAGTTTGTTTGTAAGTTTCTGGGACCAGACAGGTGCTATGCCAGACCAACTGAGGCAAATGTGCAAAGGCTGTCCTACATTCCCACAAGAGCTCAAGAACATGAGTACAGGGGCTCGGAGACATAGGTCCCAGATGCCCAGTAGGAAATATTGCTCCCTAAGAAGATGGTAAAATAAATGTACATGGGAACTGAGAGCTGGATCCATCTGTAAAGTGTTTGCTATGCAAGCATGAACACCTGAATTCAGATCCTCAGCCCTGATGTAAAAGCTGGGCATGCTTTCGTACACCTACAATCCAACTGCTAGGGACACAGTGACAAGCCAATCCCTGGAACTGATTGGCCAACCATTTTACACAAATGGGTGAGCTACAGATCCAATGGGGGACCCTGTCTGGAAAGAAATGTGGAAAGAGATAGAAGACATCCAGTATTAACCCTAGCCTACCAAAGGGGACACACACACTCATAGTTCAAGAACAATTTTGTAAGTTTTAAATTGTACTTGGCCTTAACATTGTGATGTGTATATTTTTTAAAAAGACAAAAATCAATCACTCTAGTGAGCTGTGAGTTTTTATAAATAATAAGACAGGAGATGACTCTTCTTCTTTTGATCTTTCTTTGGAAAGTAATTATTAAGTTATATGGGTGATCACAGGAATAGTACAAAAAGCCAAGAATGAGGAACTCAGTGAGTTCTGGAGTCACTGTCACATTCAAAGAAATTTACAATAGACTTGTTTTCTCTTGGCCCCTAATCTCAATGGTTCCACCAAAAATAGCAGTAAAAAAATGTTAATATCATTTAAAAGAGTTCCTGTGCCCACACAAGACTAAGACGATGCAGATTCAGATTGTGCAAAAAGTACATCAGTGTGGATCTACTAAACACGTGAAATGCATGGGGATGGCTGAGAAAGGCAGAGCAGTGTAAGAAACATCAGTAGCTCCAGAAAAGCAAAGGCCGTTCTCACAAGTCAAGAATTTCAATGAAAATGTTCCCCAGTGGCTGAGAGGACAGATAGGTAAATATTTTTAAACACAAGATATTTTTAATTGCTCAGATTTTTCAGAATTCTTACCCCAGAGTGAATGTTGAGCAGTAGTATTCAAAGGAATTTGAATTACTCTAATCTGTGTCTCTGCATGTCTCACCAAAGTTCACAGCAATTGCATTTCAGCTCTGAAACCCTCCTGACCCCACAGGACTCACCAATCTGCTGCTGCCCAGATTACACATTGAAGAACTTAACCAAACGCAGGTAATCCAACAGCTAATAATATGCTATAATAGGTGATTCTTTACTATTTTGGATGTCATGGAAGCATTTACAATTAAATTTTAACTCTTGAAGTTACACACTAGAAGATGCAAACTGATGAACTTCCAACAAAACTCTCCAAATATATTCAAAGAACTAAAAGTTAAAACCAAGGGGAGATTTCTTTAACAACCATGTGAGTAT